GTTACTTCCGTCGGTTACGTCCATACGACAACCTCATTCAGTAATGCTCTACAATGAGTAGCGCCTAGGCGTTTTATTTATTTTTTAATCATTTCACCCAAGCAAGGCGATAATGCCACTAAGACGTAAAGGGACCGTTATTTCTATGAGCGAAAGAGAGTAAGAAGACTTTATAGGGGAGAAGTGAAGAAAAAACAAAATAAATGGGCAGGTTTCAGGAAGATAGAAGATTGCGATTGGCGTGCCATTTAAAGTTTCGAAGATTGCAGGTGGCTTCGAAGCAAGAAATAGAAAAGCAGTTCCACCGACTGAAGTGCGAGAAATGAAACTATTAGAATAGAACACACGGTTGCATCTATCTAGTTAAAAAATAAAACGGTGAGATTTGGTTGCCAATCTAGTCTTCTTTTTCTTTTATGTGCTGTGTTACTCCAGGATGTAGGCGATCATTGCCCTCCACATCTTCCTGTCCCTTGTAGCTCTTAATATGTTTTGTCTTTTCGTTATTTCTCCCAAACCCTGTTTTCTCAGCCATGTTCATCAAGTATTTTTCGCGCTGCTTTTTGTTGTCTCTCTTTTCCCCAGTCTGTTCTGTGAGTATTTCCTCATTATGTGTACCAGAAATTTCAACTGTCTCTTCCTGATGTTAAGTATATGTTTCCTTTTTGTTTCCATTTTCTCCAAAACCTTGTCGTCGCTCAAATGGTACGTTTAAATTCATGCAGCCGATGCACTAAGGAGGAAAGCATATGAGAACAATTGCCATGAAAATATTTGTAGAAAAGACAGAGGGAAGTCACGTCGGTGAGGAAGTGAATGACCTCGAGATACCATGTCAGGATCGATTACATAACACACCTTTTAAATTTCTGAAGAATCCCGAGTTTTAAAAATGATCACGATTTCTGTAGTGAAACACTGTTAAATCGTGATGAAAATGAAATCCTGAAACACTGTTAAATCTCCATGAAACACTGTTAAATCTCCATAAAATGAATAAAAATATATTACCTTATTATAAATGTTGCTACACGGCATTTTCTACTTTTTGGCATTGCGTTGGTTGATTGGTAGATTTTGTTTAGCGGCATATCAACACCTCTATGAGTTATTTAATCCCGAAATCTAAATATTTTGTACATAATTATAGACTTAGTAAAGATACTAAGATACAGAGTAAAGATATGTCTTTTAGATATATAGTTTGTAGATCATAAAATGTATTCTTGTATTTGGGGTGAATGTAAATCATAGTGTTATATGTTCTGTTTTGCGATCATCTTTAGTTTTGCTTAATATGTGATCCTTACTGAGCGTTCTATATTTGTGGTTTTTTGACAGATTAAGCCAAGTTTTGTACCTCCGTCCAGAAGAAACTCTTATTGATACTTAGTATTATTGCTTAAACTACACTTCGTAGTGTAATTTAATAAAGGAAATACTTCGACAGATGAAGTAAGAAATTGTCGGACACTGAAAATCGTTTCAATTGCTTGTGTGTGTATGTGTAGGTTTGGTTAAGAAAGTTTCTTCGCTTCGTTAAAGTACCTGGAAGAAAAAGAAAGAAAAACATTATGTTGCCTGCAGGAACATAGAGAATAAGCACATTGTCTGAATAAAATGCAAAGGTCAGCCGTGAGACGACGAAGACACGACAACAACGAGACAGTGTGAGCTCTTTATTAAAGAAAAGGTGTGACGTCCATTAACTCTGGGACATCTCTAGATGGGAGCAGAAGCCGAGAGATTGCGAGGTATCAACGGCCTGCTATGCTATGAAGGTGTCTTCGCGCCTCGGAAAGAAAAAAATATCGTTACAGGAACCTCATTGTCTGCATTATTTTGTGAATATTTTTCCATTATATTTGATATCGTCCTAAACATGAAATAAAAAAAATATCTAAAATTAAAATCCTTTCAAATGCATCATTTATTGCTGTTTGCTTTGTTTTGTTTAACGGCATATGAACACTAATTAATACCGAATTTTAATTTTCGTGGGAGCTTTACAGTAATAAAAATATGATATATGTTATTCTGCTTTCACAACTGAATACATGGTAGATGATACTCAGCTTTGTGCATATACATGTTTATGTGAACATAATTACTAGAGTCGTATATATATATATATATATATATATATATATAGATAGATAGATAGATAGATAGATATAGATATATATATCACATGATGATTAGTAGGGATAATTCCAAGGAGGATATAAATGCAAAGAGAGCTCAATGTACGAACAGAGCAATATAATAATCAGTGCAGAATCCTTAAAAATCCATTTAAGTCAGGTTATAAATTTATTCCGTGGACCTGACGTCCATCTCTTCAGATCAGTTTTATATTAATAAATGGAGTTCAATTTATTCAGACACAAGGAAAAGGAAAACAAAGAAGGAAAAAGCAATAGACATGGGTGGGGCGCTTTCTCTAACCCTTCCCCCCCAAAAAAAAATTTTATATTGAAATCTTTGACTTTATTCCCCTTTTTTCTTTCTCCCTTTTAATAGTAAGATTTTTTCCTTTCTGTTTTCACACTTTTTCTTCTTTTTTTTTTTTTCCTTTTCCTCGTGTCTGGATGAATTGAACTCCATTTATTAATGAAAACCTGGTCTGAAGGGATGGACGTGAGGTCCGCGAAATAACATTATAACCTGACCTGATAAATATATTTATATATATATATATATATATATATATATATATATATATATATATATATATATATATATATATATATATATATATATATATATATATATATATATATTTTCAGGCTTCAACGCCTGGAATTATTGCGTTGAAAGCAGACGCTACTTGGTGTCAGTGTCCATTTTAATATTTACAAACTCTCTATCACTGATGTTGAGCACTTTTAGCCATGCATATAGCATGCCCTATATATATATATATATATATATATATATATATATATATATATTATATATATAAATTTCATCAAAAGCAAAGAAATAAAGTCACTCAGACGCAAGGGGGTCGAAAGAATATGACAAAAACATTATTAAGGACGGACAGCAATAAAAGAACAAGAATTAAGAAGGCAGAAGATAACGATCGATATTGTATTTCAATGTTTGAAGGTCAAATTTGACTGGAAAACAAGAAACTGGAAGAGAGTTCAACAAACGAGAGAAGAAACTGTTAGCATAGAACTTACGGTTGCATCTACGAATTTCAATTGTAAAACCTAGTTGTCAACCTATTAGTTCGCTTAAATTCGTAAAGTCTTGCTACCAAAGAGGAAAGCTCAACAAAACTATGAAGCATGAAAATATTTATAGAAGTTGGAAAGTGACTGAAGCTGCGTTGATAGGTCAGAATTCTTGTTAGTACTCAATAGAGTACTTTATATATTTTTTGGAATTGTTATTTAAGATTAAGATCAGCTGTCAATTTGACCATATCGGACGTATCGTTAAGACAGGTGTAAATAGTTATATCATCAGCGTAGACACCGAGTTTAGAACTGATGAAAATTAGTTGCAACGTACGCCCAATAATAAAACCCTGAGGACACCCGCATTAATACAAGATCTAGAAGAGTGGCCATTCAAGCCAACATTCATGTCGCAATTTGATAAGATCAAATCAAAAATTCGTACAGAAAATATTATAACCTTTCAATTTGTGAAGAAGACCAAGCAAGCATGCTTCTTCGAAATATCGAAAGCAATAGCCTGTGCTCCAGCATTCTTGGTAGACTATTTCACCAACATTTGTTATCACATCAGCAGCAGTTGACCTAGAGAAGCAAAACCCATATTCCTTATCTGAAAGAAGATCCAGCGAGGTGAGATGCTTAACCAAAGACCATTTGTTTAGAACCACCCCTCTCTCTCTCTCCCTCTCTCTCTCTCTCTCTGTATATATATATATATATATATATATATATATATATATTATTTTTAAAAATATGATTCCATCGCTACACAGGAATTATCATGTTTCAAAAACAGAACCTAAAAACTTCCAATTAATTCAATTATAGAAATGAAATTAAATTAAAGTACCTAGTTCTGTCTCGTTTTCAAGCGAATTTTATATATATATATATATATAAAACCCCTAAATGTCTGTCTCTGAGCATTGTTTTAAATTTGAAATTTAAAACAATGCTCCGAGACAGACACTTAGAGGCTGATGATAGCCGCGTACAGAACGACTTGAAATAAACTATACCATGTTGAGGTAATTTTTTTTTTTTTTTTACTATCAAAATATATATCCTCTGTTATAATAAATACATCGCGCTCTCTGTGTATCAGTTTAATAATTAATATTACTAGGATCCACCCGGATTATACACCAACGGATCGATTATCTGTACTATATATATATATATATATATATATATATATATATACTTTTTGTATGTGCATATATTTAATAGCTTTTGAATGTGTGTATATAAAGTTACTTATATCTGTTTACGTGTCATTGATCACAAATGGTTCTGTCAGTGTATACCGTGGTGGGCAGGCATTGTAAAGCTGTCAGCTGCCCCACCTCCCTACTTCCAAAAGTCTGACCGAATAATCAAATATCAGATGTTTTTGGGAAGAGCTTCTTGGTCTGGCCGAGAACTTTTCTGTATCCACTTGTCTATATTTATGTAAGTGTTTGTGCACTAGTAAGTAAAAATACACTTTTATGTATATAAATTGTTTTATGTTTACCTAATTGTTTTTGCAACCTTACTTGGAGACGCTCAATCACTTATACAACGCACCCAGAGATATGAATCTTCGAAGAAATTTTATTTATTTATTGTCGCTGGCATTTTTTTTCCCATAATTCAATCGATAGATCATGACGTCCAAGTATTTTGTCGTCTCACAAGCCTCGATCTGGCTTCACCCGCTCTCTCTTGCAATGACAAGCCTCCTTTCCAATTCTCGAATACGTGTCAGGGCTTCCTTTGCTATCGTCTATTTTATTTGCATTAGAAAATACAGTTCCTCACTCAATGTTTTTAGATTTGTTTTTCCTTGATTTTCAAATCATTTCCGTATTCTTCCACTTTTCTCTTCCCGTTATCTATTTGTCTAAGTGCTCGTTTTCTTTTTTTTCATTCTTTCTTCCAATCTTTCTTTCTTTCATACTCTTTCTTTCTTTCTTTCTTTCTTTCATACTCTTTCTTTCTTTCTTTCTTTCTTTCTTTCTTTCTTTCTTTCATACTCTTTCTTTCTTTCTTTCATACTCTTTCATACTCTTTCTTTCTTTCTTTCTCTATTTCTTTCTTTCACTTTTCTTTCTTTCTTCTTTTCTTTCTTTGTTTCATACTCTTTCTTTCTTTCTTTTCTTTCTTTCTTTTTTTTCTTTCTTTCATCTTTCTTTTCTTTTCTTTCTTTTTTTAATACTTTTTTTTTTTTTTTGCTTTTTCTTTTTTGTTCTTTCTTTCTTGTCACGTTTCTTTTTCTTTCACTTTTTCTTTCTTTCTTTCTTTTTTCTTTTCTTTTCCTTTTTTTTTCATACAATTTCTTTCTTTTTTGCTCCTTCTTTCTTTTTTTCTTTTTTTATACAGACTCTTACTTTCTTTTTTGTTCTTTCTTGCTACGTATTTCCGTTTCTTTCTTTCTTTCTTTCTTTCTTTCTTTCTTTCTTTCTTTCTTTCTTTCTTTCTTTCTTATCCACGTTTATTTCGCACTGTCCTCCTTTCTTTTCTTTCTATCCCGTATCTTTTCCTTTTGGTCTTTTCCTGCTTTCTGTTTCTTTCTTTCTTTTTCATACTTTTTACTTTCGTTTTTCTATACACTTTCTTTCTTTCTTTCTTTTTTGCTCTTTCTTTCTTTGTGCTTTTCTTTTTCTTTCATTCTTTTCCTTATGCTTTCTTGCTTACTTCTTTTCCGCCTTTCTTTCTTACTTTCTTTCTTGATATTTGCAAATCTTACAAAAAATCAAATAAAAATATGAAAAGTGAAACCTTGTGTCTGCTTTGAAAATCAGCGTTCAAAATCTTCGCTTTTTATGTGAGTTCGAACATTGATCAATAGCGACTTAGAGGAATACAAGACTTTTCTACTTTCGGTCATTCCATTTCTGAGTGTTTCATTCTTGCCGCTTTCTTTCTTTCATTCATTCATTCATTCTTTCTTTCTTTCTTTCTTTCTTTCTTTCTTTCTTAGTGTCTTCTTCCTTCCTTTCTTTTTTGATTTTTTCTTTCTTTCTCATTCCTTATTCTCCCGTTTTATAGTCTTTCTTATTCTTTCTTTCTCATCCCCTACTCTTTCTTTTTAGAGACTTTCTTTTTCTGTCTTTCTCATTCCTTATTCTTTCCTTTTATAGTCTTTTTCTTTCTTTCTTTCTTTCTTTCTTTCTCATTCCCCATTTTTTCCTTTTATAGTCTTCTTTCTTTCTTTCTATCTTTCTTTCTCATTCTTTATTCTTTCCTTTTATAGTCTTTCTTTTACTTTTTCAATAAATCTCTTCTTCTCTTCCTTTAATCTTCTTCTTCTTTTTTCCACCATTACCCCTCCTTTGTCTTTCTTTATTCATTTTTTATCAATTCCATCTTTTATCTTTTCCATTTCAGATGGCATTTTTCTTATAAATTTATATATTTTTTCTTTTTTCATCTTGTTCTTCCTTTTATTATTTTTCCGTTTTTCTCGGTGGCTCCCCACTCCCAATGAAACCATTGTTTATGCCTAACCCCGCCTGTCAGTATTGGCGCCCTGTCAGCTACCGATCCTCGCCTGCCCCTGGAGGATGCCTCAACTTGACAGTCCGACTGTATCGGAAAAAAGGCGGGAAAACGGCAAGATATGGCCGCCTTTGCAGCGCCTCAAGCACTGGCGTCATCTCAACATGGCCGTGATGAATGGCCGATAACTGAATCAAAACAAAAATCCGACAAGTGTTATTTCATCTACACCTTTTGCCGCCAGAGGGCAGTAGCAGCGGATATTGCCGCTTTCCCAAAGTCGTGATCACTTGCAAGTCATTTTTTAAAACTGATTTTCGTTTTTAGTTTGTCTATTTTTCTCTCTCCCTATACATCTCTCTCTTTTCTCTTTTTCTTCTCTCTCTCTCTCACTTTTTCTCTTTTTCTTTTTCTTTTTCTTTCTCTCCCTCTCTCGTTTCTCTTTCTCTCTTTTACTCTTTCCCTCTTTTACTCTTTCTCTCTTTTTCTCTTTCACTCTATCTTTCCATCTCTTTCTCTCTCGCCTTTCCTTTCTCCGTCTCTCTCTTTTTCTTTTTCTCTTTCTCTCTCTCTCTTTATCTTTCTCTTTTTTCTTACCTTCCTTCACCATTCCTTTAATCTTTTTCTTACCCCGCAATAAGTTTTAAAATCTTTTTTTTAATTTTTCTTTTCCCCTATTTTTACTTACTCGCTTTACTTTTTGCTTTTGGCTTGCTTCATATTACATTTTACTTAAAGCATGAGGCTGTTTTATATATATATATATATATATATATATATATATATATATATATATATATATATAGAAGCATTCAGTCCCTCATCCAATCGACAGCATTCAGCTAGAAAAAAGGCATGACATCAAGAAAATTGTGATAGAATTTTCAAGAGGCCAATAACGATGCATTTAGGGCAGAAGTTAGTAAACTATGTACCATGGTATGCTACAAGATATAACTAAGTATGCGACGAAAAAATTTAAATAATAAGCTTCGTAAGCTGATAAGCTGCGGTATACTGATGAGCTGCGGCACACCGGTGAGCCGCTGCAAACTGGTGAGCTGCTGCACTCTGGTGAGCCTCTGCACTCTGGTGAGCCGCTGCACACTGGTAAGCTGCGGCACACTGGTGAGTCGCGGCACACTAGTGATCTGCGATACACTGGTGAGCCGCGGCGCACTGATGAGACGCTGCTCACTGGTAACCCGCGGCACACTGGTGAGCCGCGGCACACTGGTGAGCCGCGGCACACTGGTGAGCCGCAGCACACTGGTGTGCCACGACACACTGGTGAGCCGCGAGATGTAGCTAAGTACGCTGCTAAAAAATACAACCTTAGTAATAACAATAATAATAATACTGAATAAAATCTATGATGAGAAAATCGATATATGAAGTAGAAAATCCTTGCACAGAGCATTTACACCAGAAATCTTGAAAAAGGAAACCGAAGAGATAATATGGGCAGCGCAAGAGAAGGATTTAAGAACAACTCCTATCTTTACCGCCGAAACGTATCTTCCCTTTGTCTGTTCTATAAATATTTTCAGGCCAATTGTTCTGACGTTCTTTCCTCCTTGGTAGCTCGACTATATGAATTTAAGCGTCCTACTAGAGTGGCAACTAGGTCTCAATGTTTTGCTATTAAAATACCTAGATGCAACCCGTAAGTTCCATTTTAATAGTTTCTTTTCTCGCGTTTCTCGCCTGTGAAACGATCTTCTGGCTTCTTGCTTCTCTGTCGCCAACGATCTTCAAAATTTTAAATACTACATAAATTGCAGTCTTCTGTCTTGTTGGTCCTGTTCTTTTATTGTCCTTTCTTCTCCCTAACGTTTACTCATTCTCTTTCACTCCAAGTAAATCCTTGCGGCTTTTCCCCCTGATGCTCCGACTATATGAATTTAAGTTACTAGATTGGCAGTTAGGTCTCACCGTTTTACTGTAGAGCTAAATGCAACCGCAATTCCTACTCTAACAGTTTATTCTCTCGAACTTCACACTTGTGAAAATTAATTCCGATTTCGTGCTTCCCTGATAGCTACAATCTTTAAAAATTTAAATGCAGCATCTTCTTGAACTCCATCTTCTTGAACTCTATACTTTTTTTTATCCTTTCCCCCATCCTCCGTATACTCAGTCTTCTCATTCTTTCTCACTCCTTGTAACCCCCTGCGTTCCAGTTGCTTTATCCCCTCGCTTGACGTGAAACGATAATAATAATAATAATAATAAAATTAATAATAATAATAATAATATGAGCACCACTCAGACCCTTTTACGGAGATAGGACCTGTTACAATTCTATGGGACTACATAATACACATGGACAGAACAATCAAAGCCAACCGCCCAGATATTGTTATTAAAGACCACAAACAAAAAAAAAGTGTCTCCTTATAGATATGGCAGTCCTATGACTGCAATGTATCTTTGAAGATATTCAAACAGCTGTCAAAATACAAGGACCTTGAAATAGTGATCTCGAAAATGTGGTATATGGGAACATCAACAATCCCTGTTGTAGTTGGAGCCCTAGGACTGGTTGGAAAAGATTGCAGTAGACTAATTGAAGGTCCTCTGGAGTCCATGCCTCAAGGAGATACAAAAATTGTTCTGACAAGTACAGCCCACACTTTACGAAGGGCTTTATCTATGTAATTTATTTATTTATTTTTTTTTTGTCAATGGAAAATGTCATGATGCCATTTCTAACCTGCCCTGGGCGGGACCCGGAAAGAAATGTGTTCCATCAAAGATAATAATAATAATAATCGAAAATGCTATATACATATCAAGAAAGTCTCAAGAAATCCGTTTTCTGGGAAATACAAAAAGATTATGTAAACAAGTAGTCCGTACATACTTAGAAATTGATCTTTCGATATCTTTAAAAGAAAGGCATTTACCTTTGATATCAAATAAAAGTCATGATAAAACAAATAGGTAATACAAAGAAGCAATAACGTTAATTAAAAAATAATAATAATAATAATATGCGGGAAATATGGCCCCAAGTGCGCAGAGAAGAGGTACGTGCAATCACCGCCATGAGTAATCGAGAATGATCAAACAATAAAGATACAACACGTGTTATTGTTTTGGTCACTAGAAAAGAGGGTTCTTCCAGACCACATTTGCCCTTTGCTTTTTAGCTGCTTACGGGACCCTTTTTCCTGCTCTTCTCATTCTCTCTCCTCCCTGTAACCACCTGCGTTGCAGTTGATTTATCCCTCGCTTGACGTGAAACGATAAAAAAAAAAAATGATGAGGAAATTTCATTTATAGAGCAGGTGATTTGTCCAGGCTGTGTAGAAAAAAGTTGAAAGTCTGCAACAAAAGTACAGACAACGCCATGACAAAGTAGTCCCCAGAATACACTGAGAACTATTTAAGTATCGTTTCGAGTACGCTGAGAAGCGGTAAACATTCACCAGAGAGACGGATCAAGTGAAGCTCATGTGCGATTCGATCATTTTGACTAAGAGAAACGCTTGAAAACAATCGCCGTTGTGCACAAAATAAGCCACGAATGCATCTTGATAAGCATTGCGCTTGCCTTTTTGGCTAAGACTACCGTAAAGGGGAATCTAGAAGTACCAGGACCTGGCGGAGCAAATCGGAGAAATGTACAAAGCAGTAGATCAGGTTGTCTTTTTCATGGTTGGCGCAATCTAGATCATTTTCCAGGAATTTTTCTGCTTCACAAGACACTTTGGGTGATATCTGACATCATTGGGATTCTTTTTAAGCTCAAGGTAAGAGCTGAGATGTGGCCATCATCACAGAGCCGAAGCATGGAAAATCCCTGCATGCTGAATATTTTGGTAGCAAGGAAGAACAAATTGTTCAACCGGCAGCGGAGAATACAAATGAATAATAATAATAATAATAATAATAATAATAATAATAATAATAATAATTAGAATAATAATCAAGCACATATACTAAAAATATTGTGTCAGCCCAAAATGCAGATTCTTGATAAATATCCAGAAACGATTGATCATCTTGTATCAGGTTGTACGGTGTTGGCACCCACTGAATATAAAACCCGACATGACAGAGTGGGCCAATATCTGCACTGGAAAATCTGCAGCTTCAACGGAAAGGAAACTGAAAGAAACTGGTATGAACACCACCCAGACCCGGTTACGGAGATAGGACCTGTTACAATTCTATGGGACTACACATACACACTGACAGAACAATCAAGGCCAACCGGCCAGATATTGTTATTAAAGACCACAAACAAAAAAATGCCTCCTTATTGATATGGCAGTCCCTGCTGACTGCAATGTATCTTTGAAGATATTCAAAAAGTTGTCAAAATACAAAGGACCTTGAAATAGAAATCTCGAAAATGTGGTATATGGGAACATCAACAATCCCTGTTGTAGTTGGAGCCCTAGGACTGGTTGGAAAAGATTGCAGTAGACTAATTGAAGGGATTCCTGGAAGTCCATGCCTCAAGGAGATACAAAAAATTGTTCTGACAAGTACAGCCCACACTTTACGAAGGGCTTTATCTATGTAATTTATTTATTTATTTATTTTTTTTTTTTGTCAGTGGAAAGTGTCATGACGCCATTTCTAACCTTAGGTCCCTGGGCAGGACCCGGAAAGAAATGTGTAAACGCCAGAAATCAAAGAAAATAATAATAATAATAATAATAATAATAATAATAATAATAATAATAATAAAATACAGTAAAATTAATTTTGTAAAACAATAATAATAAAACAATCAAAGCTAACCGCCCAGACATTGTTATTAGAGACCGCAAACAAAAAAAGTACCTCCACATTGATATGGCGGACTGCAATGTATCTTTGAAGATCTTCAAAAAGCTATCAAATACAAGGACCTTGAAATCGAAATCTCAAAAATGTGGCATATGGGAACATCAACTACCCCTGTTGTAGTTGAAACCCTCGTATTGGTTGGAATAGACTCATAGATCCAAAGACTCATTGAAGGAATTCCTGGTAGCCCATGCCTCAAAAAATTTGTTCTCACTAGTACAGCCCACACCTTACGAAGGGCTTTATCTATGTAATATTTTTTCAGTGAAAAATGTCATGATGCTTTTTCTAATCTTAAGTCTCTGGGCGGGAACCGGGACGAAATGTGTATACACCAGAAATCAAAGGAGATAAAATAATAATAATAATAATAATAATAATAATAATAATAAGAAGAAGAAGAAGAAGAAGAAGAAGAAGGTGCAATGCATTCCCAGTAGCTGCACACAAATGATACGAAAAGAGTTCAGACGATGCCATGAGAAATTGGTCCTTAGATTACACAACGAACAATTAAGAAAATATGCTGTCAGGTGTCGTAGAGAAGTGGTAAGAAGCGGAGAATGTGCAAGTGAAGATCATTTGGGATACGACCATCTTTATACGTGTGCACACGACCAGCCATGAAGGGATCCTGATAGACGTTGCGGTAATTTAGGATAAAAACATCCCTGAGGGCGGAAATACAAAGGTACAAGGATCAGCTAGGGCAAATCGGAGAAATGTACAAAGTACGTTTTTGTGGCTGGAGACCTCAGAACTGGTTTCAGGAATCTTTTTGCCTCGTAAGACGCCTTAGGAATATTTGAAATCATTTTGAGTGCGCAGGTAGCA